CCTAGAAGTGCCTGCCACGACCGCACCCTCACACACATGCACACACCCATAAATACCTGACAGTACACCAACACGGAAAACAAGACAGCAGACAACCATAATAACAATAACCACAATAATAATGATAATAACTACAATAGTAGTCCAGACTGCTCACGGACCCCGAATCCCTGGAACTGGGTCCGTGACAATATCACTATTACAATAAAATCATGCAAATAAAATCGACACTATGTACCAACACAGTCTGATCCAAAACAAACTATAAAAACACAATTTTCCACTGTGTGAAAAAAAACACAGTTTGCGTGATCGCAAAGTGAAAGTGAAAGCAAAAAACTAGCGTAAAGTCAAACGCGATTTCAATATGTTGACAGTGGCTCATCAATGCCAATGACATAATTACCCAGCTACATTTGCGAAAGAATGCAAAAGCATTGACATATATTTTTCCTTCCTACGATAGCCTGACGGGCAGGGCTGAGATGGATTTTGGTAGCCCGACTGGAAAAATTGCTAGCCCCGGGACGTTGGGTTTGCGATTTTGCGAGCCCTGCACTGAGTATGAGTGCTGCTGGCTGCTTCAGCAGTCTGGCTCTAACCCTCAAACTCTGGTTGAAGTTCCTCCAAACTTCAACACAACTAGGGTTGTGACAAGGAAACTCTACGTCAGACATCAGAATAACCTGCAGCCAGAGTAAAGTATTTCATGTTATTATTTATATTTCAATTCAATTTTATTTATACAGCACCAAATCACAACACAGTAGTCGCCTCAAGGCCATATATTGTAAGTTAGACCCTACAATATACACTGACTGGCCCCCAAAGAAGCTGCCACCTAGATTTAACTAAGCAAATAGGTATGAGCCTCTTACTTGAAAATTACTGTGTGGGTGATTATCTTTCAGTTGGCAACAAGTTATTTAACCCTAACTGATGCAATGAGTTGCTTCTCATTTCATAAACAACTATGTGGAAAGACACATCTTGTGGTCGTGGAAAAGATGATTGTGTGTTTAAAAAGGGTCAAATCATTGGCATGCATCAAGCATAGAAAGCATCTAAGGAGATTGCAGAAACTACTAAAATTGGGTTAAGAACTGTCCAACGCATTATAAAAAAGTGGAAGGATAGTGGGGACCCATCGTCTTAGAAGAAGAAATGTGGCCGGAAAAAAATCCTGAATGATCATGATCACTTACACGTTGAAGTCAAATCAAAGAAAAAAACACTAGAACTCAGGGCTATGATTAATAGTGAAAGTAAGAACATTTCCACGCGCACAATGCGAAGGGAACTCAAGGGATTGGGACTGAACAGCTGTGTAGCTGTTGGAAAAGTACTAATCAGTGAGGCAAACTGGGAAAAAAAGGCTTCCCTTTGCATAAAGGTTGGACTCTGGAGCAATGGAAGAAGGTCATATGGTCTGATGAGTCCAGATTTACCTTGTTTCAGAGTGATGGACACATCAGGGTAAGAAGAGAGGCAGATGAAGTGATGCACCCATCATGCCTGGTGCCTACTGTACAAGCCTGTGGGGGCAGTGCTATGATCGGGGTCTGGTTGGTCAGGTCGAGGTTCACCAACAGTATGTGGTAAATGGCCTGTATTTATATAGC